TGACATCCAGATATCTTGTTTGTCTACATAACAAAGATGGCTGTTTGCTACTGAATTGAATGTTTTCCCTTCAGTATTTTTGTGGCTCTTGGGATTTTTCAGAGATTTATGGAGATTCTAACATTAGAGCTCTTTCTTTGCATTCTTAAGGTCCTGTGGTGAACTGACCTAAACTGATTTGGTTATGTACAACTATTAAGTTTAATGGGTAGGTCTCAGTAGTCACTAATAATTGGAGGAAAGCAAGGGGGTTAGCTACCTTCCCACAACCTTGCTGCCAGTTTTGAATAAAAGCAAATGTCAGACCAAAATCTGCCACACATGTAAACATTTATTAGCAAGAAGGCACAAAACAGCTTATAAAACCTGTTGTAGAAGCTCAATGATGTTTCAGATCTCAGGGTTTTTTTTTTTTTTTTCTTGCATGAAAGGCTTACCTGAGGAAAATGTGATAATATTCCAGCCACAGATTCAGTTAACCACTTATTAAGGTCAAGGGACTGAAAATTATCTGGATACAGCAGTAGGACTCAGAACCTTTTAGGGATTAGGTTGAGAGTGCCATCCCTAAAGGTAGGAGCTATTAGATTTTTATACCCTGTTCAAGCTAAAATATTCTAGTCTGACTACATAGTTTGAATACCATTAACCTCACCAATGAGAACCCATTTTAACAACCATTGCATAAATTAACAAGCCATGGTTCTCACAATGAAAGCTTATTTCTAACATTTATTATGCTCATTATCATAGCCTCCAGCATTAATAGCAAATAGTTATAGCCAGCCATCTCTGGGGTGTGGTTTTGGAGTGAGAGGTTTTTTTTTTTTTTTTTTTTTTTTTTTTTTTTTAAGAGATAGGGTCTCGTTCTGTGAGTGCAGTGGTGTGATCATAGCTCACTATAGACTTGAACTCATGGGCTCAAGTGATCCTCCTGCCTCATTCTTTCTAGTAACTGGGACTACAGGTGCATACCACCACACCCGACCTAGAAGTCTTGATCAAGGTAACTGACTACTCATAGAGTGTATATTTAAACTAATCATGTGGAATATCACACTGTCTCTGCTTCAGTTTTTTTTTTTTTTTTTTTTTTTTTGTTTTTTTTTTTGAGATGGAGTCTCGCTCTGTCACCCAGGCTGGAGTGCAGTGGCCAATCTCGGTTCACTGCAAGCTCCGCCTCCCGGGTTCACGCCATTCTCCTGCCTCAGCCTCCTGAGTAGCTGGGACTACAGGTGCCCACCACCACGCCTGGCTAATTTTTTTATTTTTTATTTTTTTTTTATTTTTAGTAGAGACGGGGTTTCACCGTGTTAGCCTGGATGGTCTCGATCTCGATCTCCTGACCTCGTGATCCACCCGCCTGGGCCTCCCAGAGTGCTGGGATTACAGGCGTGAGCCACCGCGCCCGGCCTGCTCTGCTTCAGTATTTTAAAGTAAATTACAGACATCAAAACAGGTACCTCATTCTGATGATCAGGAGATCAATAGATACTGAAGAAGCAGAAAATCTTTAGGTTTTCAATATGAGTGAAAAAAGAGAAATGTGAAATCAGTACCACCAAGACTACTGGAGTACAGCTTCCTCAAGATAACTCTACTCTAAAAATCAAGCAAGAGCCTCTGGCTTTCCTAAGGCTCCTTGGCTTCTGCCATGGTTTTTCTTTCCCCAAAGGCAATTGTTGCTCAGTCTGTGGACAGTTTCTGGAATGCTAAACACTCGATGGTTGGGCTCTGCTAGGATTAATGATTTCTCACCTCTGAGGCTTCTCCTCTAGAGAGTGGTGTCTGATACGGGTGGAGCCCCCCAAATGCCAGATGTCCTGTGGTGACAACTGCTGGCAACTGATTGCTCAAGAACTAAGCTGTGCACTTTTCAACTAAAAGAAGGAGCCACGTGCTTCAGTGCAATTCAAGACTCCAGGCCGTCTTTAAGGCTGGAAGTGCTCTACTGAGTGAGACCTGCGGCCTCTGCTTCTGCAGTTCCTTCAGCGTGCTGCAATGCCTCCTACAGGCCCCCTCAATCAATGTATTAAGTCACTGGCAAATTTCCCTAAATTAAAAGTGGGTGCAAGATAAAAAGGAGCAAACTACTGAAACATGTAACAACTTGGATGACCCTCAAGGGAATCATGCTGAGGGAAAACAGCCAGTCCCCAAAGGTTGCTATGATGTGTGATTCCACTTCTATGACATTCTTGAAATGACAAAATTACAAAGACAGAGAACAGATTAGTGGTTGCCAGGGATTAGGGAAGAGAAGAGAAGTGAGGCAGGTGTGGTTATATTTAATATATATATTTAATATATATTATAATAGGGCAACATAAAGGATCCCTGTGGTGACAAAACTTTTCAGCATCTTTACTGTAGTGGTGGATACATGAACCTACACAGATGATGAAATAGCATAGAATGAAACACGTGAAACACACATGCACACACACACGTGCACACAAATAAGTATGAGTAAAACTGGATAATTTGTTACAAGATGGATGAGTTATATCAATATCCTGGTTGTGATAGTATACCACAGTTTTGCAAGATGTTACCATTGGGAGAAACTAAAGTAACAAGAGATCTCTCTGCATTATTTCTTACAGGTTATCAAATAAGATTTCAAAATAAACATTTTAGGCTCGGCGCGGTGGCTCATGCCTGTAATCCCAGCACTTTGGGAGGCCCAGGCGGGCGGATCACTTGAGGTGAGGAGTTCCAGACCAGCCTGACCAACATGGTGAAACCCTGTCTCTACCGAAAATGCGAAAACATTAGCTGGGCATGGTGGAGCACGCCTGTTGTCCCAGCTACTCAGGAGGCTGAGGCAGGAGAGTCCTTTGAACCTGGGAGGCAGAGGTTGCAGTGAGCCGAGATAGTGCCACTGCACTCCAGTCTGGGCGACAGAGTGAGACTGTCTCAAAAAATTTTTTTTTAAAATTAAAAATAAGTGATTGTCGTGATGATTGCAGAACCCTATATGTATACTAAAAAATACTGAATTCTACACTTGTAAATGGGTGAATTGTGTGGCATGTAAAGTATATTTCAATAAAGCTGTTTATAAAAAGTGAGCACAAATATCTTCAGAGAGGCTAAGGAATCAGGGTGAATTCCTGACCCATAAAGGATAACCCTGGAGGTAGAATTGTTCTTTTGTTCAAGAGGACTGCAATCCCCTGCCTTCCTCAACCTTTCCCTTTTCCCACTCTGAGCCAATCCTAAACGAGGTATGAGACAATTCAGCTGCTTCAGTCCACTGGTGACAGGAGTGAGCCACAAGAAAGACTCAGGTGCCTTGCAGCCCTCAAGTTGCAGCCCTTTTCTTTTCCCCACTGCATGACCCAGTTCACCTGCCTGAGTGTCTTCTCTCTGCTTGAACTAAGATCTATTTGATTGGGGCCCTGGTTCCTGGCCTAGCTCTTGTTAAGCTCCTCCTCTGGAGGCTGACTGCTTTTCCCTGTCGTCCCCTGCCACCTCTGGGCTGGTTAGTTATGATGCACAGGTGGCCATACTCAGCCACTTCTGACAAGAGGGCTGGGTTTACCTCGCCTGGGCTTAAGGAGGTTTTTTGTTTTTAGGAAGGAGGCTTAGCTTAGCCGTCACCATCGTAACCCATCAAGTGGTCAGGCAGCTAACAATGTGCTAACGCAGATAGGTAGACAAGATTGGCCAATGATATTTGCCAACTTTCTCATCGCTTAGCAAGTTGCTCCATGTTTGACAACAGGAGTCAGTCTTGCTGTATTATTATTATTATTATTATTATTATTGAGACAGGGTCTCACTCAGTCACCCAGGTTGGAGTACAGTAGCACGATCTTGGCTCACTGCAACCTCTGCCCCCTGAACTCAAGCAATCTTTCCACCTTAGCCTCCTGAGTAGCTGAGACTACAGGTGCATGCAACCATGCCTGGCAAATTTGCTGTATTATTAAAAAGACAAAATCTCAGGACATTGATCCGCTGTCTACGTCTGTATTCAACTGTCACTTCTGCTGTTATCAGTATTTCTGTCTCCTCATAATTTGCTGTTTCTCATTTTCTGTGGCTACAGAAACAATAAACACACTTGTAAGGATTTAGTCTGAAAAAAAGAAATTGGCTCTGAGGAAGATTCTTTTATGAGTAAAGCTGGCAAACTTTATTGTATGTGTGCTGACATCTTTTTGACTTCCTGGAGGACCACTCCCCCTTATTTTTCCCTTCTTACTTCTTTATTCTCAGTTTTGTTCCAGATGTGTGAGATTGCCAGAGAAGTGACCTCTGGATGATGAGGTGTTAGCTGGGTTCTGGAGAGTGGCTCTCACCTTGCTTCAACAGTTTTCTTGTTGGCTCAGGCCTCCTTCTCCTTTGGGGCCAGCGAAGACCACTGCTCTGGGTTAAAGACAGGACGTGGGAGATGGGAGTTGAGTAGCAGAGGTGTAGACATAGTCTTAGCCCAGTCTAGGAGACATTGAGAAGAGGCCAGTGGTGGATGGTGGGGGCAGGAAATGTGACATTTTCCTCTTTGAATATAATGAGACTATTTGGAATAGATATTTTTCTGCCAAACTAGCTGCTTAAGCCCCCTGGGGAATGGCAGAGGGAACTAACATCTGCAAAATATACAGGTCAAACAGCATATAGACTGGGCTGGCCCAGCAATTCCTTCAAAACAGTTGAAGTCCAGAGACTCCAGAACCTGGGCCAGGTACCTGGGGAGAAAAGAAGGGTAGGCCCAAGAGAGACTGAGACAGAGAGAGACTGTGTGTGTGTGTGTCTGTGTGTGTGTGTGTGTGTGTGTGTGTGTGTGTCTGAGACAGGGCAGAAAGCCGGGGTCGGAGGGAGAGAGAAGAGAGGGAACCAACTTGTACTGTAACTTATGGCCACAATGCATCCTGGGATGGCACGTTCTTTTTCAGACATTCACTCAGCCATCTTTTTTTTTTTTTTTCTTCCAAATATTTTCCTCACTTTTTCTCTCCCACTTCTTCCTCTCCTTCCCTTCCCTCCTCCAGGATAGTGGAGAACATCTGGGAAGATGGAGCGGCCCACTGCTGGAGCAGTATCTTTGAAAACAGAGGAAACCATCATCTTGCTGCCCCTCCTGTTTTGCAATTCTCACATCTATTCAGGACCTGTTTGTGTGTCTCTCCTTCCTGTTCATTTTAGTAGGGCTGAATAAAAGCACATGAACTGCAACTCTCTCCTCTGATAACCCTGTTTCTCTGTGTTTTTCCCTGAGTCACTGGGGAGAATCACACATCTTTTTGGATGGAGCACTTGGCTGGAGGTGGACGACCTGGCTCATGTTCCTAAGCTCTACTATATACTTTTGATGTGACCTTGGGCAAGTTCCTGTCCTCTTTGGGGCCTTAGCTTCTTTTTCAATAAGTATGATAAAAGTAAGGGAAAACTTTTGGAGCTGGCACTCAAAAGTGATGTTAATTGGAATACTTGGCCTTCTGAGATCTTCCTAGCCCTTGCCAACCCCACTTCTTACCTCTGTTCGTCCCAGGCATCAGTTAGTTAACCGAAAAGCCACACCCAAGAATATGGTCCCAGTAGAGGAATTGAGTTATTTTTTCACTTCTTAGTGTAAAAGATATAATCACAAAGACTCCTCAAGTAAGAAGAGGGCAGGAGTAAGGTTCTGGAAGTATAGGCATTTTGTGGATAAAGGCAAATACTTATGCCTGTGAACTTTCCCGATCCCTTCCATTCAAAGGTTCAGGATGAAGTGTTTGAATTGCTGTTAAACAGGGAATCTGGCCCAGAAGCAGCCCATTTCCCGAGTGGTAGTTGGGCGTGGGGAAACTGTTGGTCTGCATAGGATGTACAGCTGGCTATACTGGGTGGGGATCTGTGGGCCCAATCCTCCTTCCCTTATGACTGGGCACCTAGCAGCAGGGTTATGAGTCCACTTTGTCTTGTTCAACTGTGAAAGTAGCAAGAATGGGAGCCTCTGCAAGGGCCTGCAGCTGCCTTCCAAGGAATTTCAGTGATATCTGTGAGTACAGAGGCTGAGTCATATTTTGGGAGAGGATTGTGTTTTTATACCCGCAATGCAGGGTGTTGCCATAATATTAATCATTATTATGGTTAAAAACAAATAAACTCATCCTGCAGTTATGACAAATCTGTGTCTTGGCTCTTTCTTGCCCTTACATTGTCTTTCTTTTAGCTTCTGCCTTAAGGAACCAGAGTTTAACCCCATATAGCCAGAATAAGCAACTGTCTTTCTAACACCATTTCAGGAATATATGTTAAGTCTCTAATTTTTAAACATCTTCCATATTTATGTACTAAGAGCATCCTGTCAAAATGCAAGTGCTGCTTAAACTTCATTAGTTACTTTGATCTTAATATTAATAGGCCATTAATATTGTTTCCTGAGAGAAGGAGATTGGGTGAAAGGAGAGACCACAAGGGTCCTGGACATCTGACCAGGGAGGGAGACGCCACAGAAAGGATATAGGGGCACCAAAGACAAATCACCAACCTGTCAATTTTTCCATGGACCAGTTGTAGACAAAGGTCATGGCTACAGCAGCAGGGGGTCTGTGATTGTGGAGAAAGGTAAGGAGGGAGGAGTAAAAGGAAGATTGACTGAAGTTTGAGGAACCATTCCCTCAGCGTGGGCCTCAGGTTCTGGCTCTAGAGCAACCGACTCTGACCTTACAAAAGGAGAAAGATGTCTGCTTGTGTGTGTGGGCCATTTCAGGTGGATCCCATGGGCCTTGGACAGTTTCTGTGGGTCAGGCCTTGGCTTCAGGGCCTTGAGTTCCTACAAAGTTGACAGAGGCTGAACCAGCTGGGGAACTGCTAGGTATCTGGCAGGAGCGGGAAGAGTCATTAAGACTCGGGCTCAGTGAGAGACCTGAACACTGGGGCAAAGTGTGCCTTCAGAATGTAGCCCACTCTGTCAGCCTAGGTCCCCAACCTCATCTTACCTAGTGACCAAGAAATGCACTTTGCTCTTTTCTGGACCCCATTCTATCTTGACCAAATCAGAAAACAGGCTCATTGCTGCCCTACATATCTTTTACCTGGGCTTCGATGAAAGCAGATAAGCCAAGGTGGAGAGTCCCCAGTTATGGTCTCAGCAACCATCTTCCTGTCATTTTCTCTACCGCTTTCCTGCATGTACCATCATTTGGGTTGTGGCAAAAATGGCATCTCCTAAGAGACTGTCTCTAGTTAGATAGCTTCTCCCACCTCCAACCATATCACTTCACTCTGGTTATTGTCTTCATAGCACCTAACACCATCTCAAATTGTCATTTGGTTTGTTTTGTTGTTCATTATCTCTCCCATCTCCCTGTCCCATGCTGTGTGTGATTCACGAAGCAGGGGCTGACCGCATTTTGGTCCCCCAGTATATCCCCTAAATCTGGCAGAATTGGGTAGGCCTCTTCTCTGCTCTGTCTCCTGAATACAACCTACATGTCCTCACTTTGTACCTTTGCTCAAAGTATTTTTCCTCTCTGGAATGTGCTCTTCCCTGTCCACTGAATCCTTCTTGTCCTACAATGCTGGATTTAAATCCCACCCCCTCCAGAAAGGCCTCCCTGATTACCTCAACTGACAGAGAGCTTTTCTTTCTCTGACTGCTATAGCCTTGACTAGCTTTGCTACATATTTTGCTATTTCTTTTTTCACTGTCTTATAGTCCTTTCCAATTTTTTCCCTTGCATTTGTCTTTTCTCTCCAGATTGATTGTGTCCACAATCCTTTTGTGCTTCTGATGAGGTCTAGCTCTTCTGTCTCACCTCAAGATAAAAATGGGGTTGTGGCCGGGTGCAGTGGCTCATACCTGTAATCTCGGCACTTTGGGAGGCCGAGGCGGGCAGATAACTTGAGGTCAGGAGTTTGAGACCAGCCTGGCCATCATGGTGAAACCTCATCTCTATCAAAAAATACAAAAAATAGCCGGGTGTGGTGGCATGAGCCTGTTGTCCCAGCTACTAGGGAGGCTGAGGTGGGAGAATCGCTTGAACCCAGGAGGCGGAAGTTGCAGTGAGCTGAGACGGCGCCACTGGACTCTGGCCTGGGTGTCTCAAAAAAAAAAAAAAAAAAAATGAGTTTGGTTGTGTCCATTTAGTGGTACAGATGACATAGCAGGACACAGGAAAATAGTTTCTCCTTGTGTAATCCAAGGATCATGAAGCAGCTCTCATTTAAATACAGAGTCCCAGGCGCAATGTCCACAGTTTCAGAATGTGTTATCTAGGGTGGGGCTCTGAAATCTGCATTTTCTTTAAAATACACAAAGTTCGAGAACCAGCAATTTAGGGAGAGCCGCTTTCACCCTGGGTCAACCACTAACCAGGTATGTGACTTTGGGAGGCTCACTTGTCCTCTCTGGGCTTCTGTTTTCTCATATGTAGGATGAAGGGGTTGGGTAGTGACTCCTCAATTCTAAAATTCAGCATGTTTATGTTCTGTAAACTTCTGGAAGGTAAATTCCTTGGCCTACATGTCTTAGAATCTCTACTATTCAAGCATAGTACCTTAAATGTAGTAGGTGCTTAACAAACACTGGATGAGTGAATGGATGGAATGAGTAGCTGGGAGGCAGGGGAAGGGATGCTCACAGCAATTCAGAGACAATACTGCAGTGGAGCACAGTGCAAAGGCTTGGGTTAGAATCCCAGTCTTTGCCAAGTTTTGTTGTCTCTTGAACTCTCCATTTCCCAATCTGTAAATTGGAGGTGTTACCTATTGCATCAGGCTGTTGCAGAACGAAATGAGATAATGTCTACAAAAAGCTTAGCACAATGTCTGACACATAGTAAATACTTAATATCTTTATTTTTAATTAGGTCACCCCAATGAGGAACAAATAATTGGCTTTCAATGAGGGAGAACTTGAATTTCCACCATATTCCGGACTTCTCCTGTCTTCTCCCTTTCCCATTGGCCCATAGAGACCCTGATTATAAGGATGGGCCTGGAATTGGCTGATCTAACAGCCAAAGCTGTAAGGACCTGACTTAGAATTTGGGAAAGATGTTCTGTTATCTTACAGCATGGTGTAACTTATCCATGTACCGAGAGAAACAAATTGTCAAGGCATCATGAAGTTTATCATCAGGAGTACGGAAAGAATACGAGGTCTGACATGAGAATATCTGGGTTCAGGTGTTAGTTCTTGCAGAAAAAGTTCCGTGACTTCACCGTACCTCCACCTCCTGATTTGAGTCAGGTGTCCCTTCTCTATGTTCTCACGGTGCCGACTATTTCCTTTATCATGATATTTGCCTTTTGTTCTTACTACCTGTGACTGTCACCTAGAGTAGACTAAGCTTTTTGAGAGTGGGGACAATGTTTTGACCATCTCTGTATTCTGGACAAAGAACATATTACCTGAGTGGAGCAGATGTTCAGGTAATGTTTGTAATACTCAATTCAAATGATGAACTGATATGCTATTGAGCTCAGCAATTAACCTCTTTAGGCGCTGTAAGAGGGAGACAAGAAACCCTTCTCTGATGACTCGCCAGTGTTACTGTGAGGCTCAAGCACTTTGCAACCAGTAAAAGAATCAATGTTATTGCCTTTCAGGCCTCTTCCCCTCCACCCCGGACCCCCCTCAACCCCCACCCCCACCCCACAGCCTTGCTGACCTTTACCTAAACCTATTTACCATCCCTTTAGGACTCTGCTTTCTGTTCTGTAGGCTATTTTATCAGCCAATCTGGAAAAGGAATCCATGCTAATGTGTTAATGGGTGTTAATTGGACGATATGTTTACATTTCAACAGGGAGTTTTTGAGCTTTAGGAGGAATGAGTAATGGTGGATTCCAGGTGCTTGGGCAGGGGAGAGCTGGGTTTTTGTTTTTGTTGTTGTTGTTAGGGAATCTCTTAAGCCATTTCTCAAACTGCCCTGGTAGGGGGCCACCTACTTTTTGTCCACATTAGGCTTGTCATGCAGCACACACAGTGTGTTTGCATGCAGGAAGTGCCTGAGGCCTCTAGGACCACGTTGGGGGGTTCTGTCTTGCAAGAGATCCAATAGCATGAGGAAGCAGTCTGTAGAAATTTACCTGCTTCCTTCCTGAGTCAGGGCCTGATGAGCTCTGTTCCAGGCTTGGAGATCAAACCTGGGGCCCTGAAAAGCCATTAGCCTGGAAAGATTATTTCTGTTAATCCTCCTAAGCAGCTCCTGAGGCTTTTCACATGCTCACAGAATAGCCTG